TCCTGTTGATTAGGCTTGAAAGGGATCAAACATCAGAGAACGTCCTTTGTTGGAAAATGTTTACATATTCTGCATTTTGCAACAGACACAGCCGCTCCACAAGACTCCAGGGACAAGGCCGAGATGGCTTTTCCGTCAGCCCTGGTTGTAGGGTTTAGGGATGCGTTTTGCCTGCTTAAGGTAGGTGTCTACCTAGTTAGATGAGATGAGTTTTCCCAAGTTGTCTACCCTGTCATTAACTTTCATGCTTGAACTCAAGTCTCCTTACCTTGCAGTCCTCTGAGAGAGTGGATGTCAGGTCCTTGTAGGAGTAGTCATTACACCTGGGTTATCTTCTAGAGTTCATTATGGCCAGGCCTGCAAATTCTAAATCCAGCCAAGCTACCTAAGGGTAAGTTTGGGTTTGTGGAATGCTGCCAGACGCACCTTGGTGCCACAGCGCAGGACCCAGAGCCGGCCACTCTGGAGCAGCAGCTGGAAGCCAGCAGGTGCCATGGAACATGCATAGTGGCATGGACACCTCTGCATAGGTGACTCAGACACCCTGCAGGCTTTCAGAGGCTGGAGAGAAGAACCTCGCCAAATGTAAGAAGGGGACAGAGGGAAATAAGACAGAAAGATAGACCATTGCAGTGGTGACCGTTTGGATGCCTTGTCCTTCTGTGGTTCTAGTTCTCAATAAATTGTTAAGCTTATTTTTATGTCAAGCCATGGAATACATTGGTCTCTCAGGTACCAGTGGTGGAGACTGATGGGGTGAGGATCATTTCAGCTACAGAGCAGCAAAGTGCATGAACAGGAAGAACCTGAAGGAGAGAGCCCCCATACTATACACAACTTGGGGTTTTCTATTCGATACATTACAATTGATACAAGGTGCGCGTGTAACTCAGGAAAAATATTGCAGCTTGCAATTACACTCAGGGCAATTCAGCAGAATTTTATATGGATGTTGACCTTGACTGCAGGTGATGGCTGCAACAGTGTCAACCAGCTAGATAGGCAGGATGGTTCATGGGAGTTTATGCTGCATTGACTTTTTGAAATCAATACAGTTGTCAGCAAAAAGCATCAGGAGGGCAGAGAGCAGTTTGCGTTCTCATGCTGTACTTCATTCACTGTCTCCTACCATTGCCTTTGGTGAGCATTTTCACCAAGTCAAATTCTGGGACACATTTTGGACAGAGAAAGAAAAGAAAAACCCCTTCTATGTCCAGGAATGAAATCCTGTGGAAATGTCCTGAAGGCATATCCCCATGCCTAAGCACGGGATAGAAGCTTGTGAAGGATTCCAGAAGAATTAGTTGATGTGACTTATGTAAAGCAGCAATTGGTTAAAAGTAAAAACCCATCAAAGATTAGCTGAAAGTCTGACTGGGACAACAGTATTCTTTTAAACTGGGTGAGCTTTTCAGCCATCACAATTGTTTTTAGCTAACAGGTTGCCAAGCAGTGAAAATTGGAAGCATAGCATTTTGTGCTAGCACAGATGCTCCCACTGATCATGATCTCTCATCTATCTTCCATTTGTGCATTGTCAGCATTAGTCAGGATTTTTTATTTGCAGCTGATAGACGTAATTGGGTTTATTTCCTTAAGAGAGAGGAGTTTCCCATTCCCAGAGAACCATTTGCAATTCCCTTTGTGGGAGGGGCTACAGTGAGTTACATATTCTCCAGGCAAAGCTACCGAGAGCTTAGAGTGAGTTACAGTGTGCACAAGGTAAGTTTTTTGGATTTTGGAGATGCAGAGGGAATTACTGTACTTGAAATGAAGTCAGGGAATGGGTTTTACAGATTAAGTGTTTGTACTTTCTTTACTATCATGTTTATATGCATGAAATGGTAAAATATTAGTCAGCTGCTTTCTAGGTGTACAGAATTAAGAAAAAGAAACGTAGACCTCAGAAGTATGGAGTGCTTCCTCTCATCTCCTTCTTCCTACTGTAGAGAAGCTGATACGTTATTTAAAAGGGGACTATGGTGGGTTTTAGCCATTTCCCCTTAGCTGCAGGTAATGCTTTAGCT